TAAGCGAGATAGGTCTTAGGTCCTTTTTCAGTTCCTTTACTGATTTCTTTTTGGGCAGGGGTGTCACGTCAGCCAACTTCCACATTTTTGGTAAATGCTGCTCGGAGTAGGAGGCATTAAGGATTTCTGTCACTGGGAAAGCCACTGCATCTGAATATTCCTTCAGTAGCCAATTGGGAATTCTATCAGGCCCACACGCTTTCCCAGGGTTAAGGTGAGACAGAACCTTCTGAACACGTTGTTCACCCACGTGCAGGATCTCTGGTGTTGTATTCGCCTCCATGGGGAGAAACTCTAGTGGAGTTGGCAGTCTGTACTCCTCCAGCGGTTCTAAAAACGCGGCATTGATGGTGTTGGCCTTTTCTATTAATGACAATTCTGAAAACCTTCCACGTCAATCTGGCTCAGAAGGTCGCCATTTTTCCTTTTGAGCCGCTCAGACGCTTTACTTCGTCCCACCATTTCTTTGGGGCTTCTTGTCTTAAATTCTGAATTCTCACTTCATAATATTTAGCTCTGCATGCCTTTCTTTCCCGGTTAACCAGATTTCGGAAGAACTTGAATTGGGCAGAGTCGCCGCCATATGATTTGAACGCTTTTTGTCTTTTCAAAATCATTGACTTCAGCTTATGGTCAATCCAAGGAGCGTCCGCACTACAGGTGCGAATTTCTTTCTCAGGCATCAGAATATCAAGCCCTGTATGTACAGCAGTGTGGAAAATCTCCCACTTTTCCTGGCAACTATCCGTAGGAGCGAACAATAAAGGCCAATCAATAGAGGTTAGATATCTCCCCAAGGCAGCCTTGTTACTCTCACGTAAGTCACGCCTTTTAACAACGTGCTTTCTGTTTACATCACGTTTACCATCTTTTGGCGACACAACAACAGCGTTGTGATCCGACAACCCGAATGGAGGGTAGGCTTGTGGCGGATTATAGTATTCTTGCATGTTAGTGAGCACCAAGTCTAATATGGCATCCTTCCGGGTCTGAACTTGAACTATTTGCTGGAGACGAAAGTGATTCAGCAAGCCCTTAATATCAAGCGGTTGAAATCTCCTGTGACGACCAATCCACAGTTGGGATATCGCGTCTCCGCTAGGACGAGGGACTGGAACAAATGCTCCCGGATAGATGTCCCATCGGCCTTGGGGGGTGATAGATCACTGCCGCGATTATGCAGGAAAAACCCCGGGGAGGCGGTTTGGTCTTAGATGGAGCCACAATGTCTCATGATTATCACAGCACTTTAAATCGTTCAGTTGTTTATATTTGCACCGTTTTTCTTGAATATAGACACACACACCACCGTGTTCTAGTGTCTTCCTGTCCTCACGCACAATAGCAAACCCGGGGATGTCAACAACGGTGTCCAACACAGAGTCCTTTAGCCAGGTTTCCGTAACGAACGCAAGGTTGATATGATTACGAGTGATAAACTCGCTAACTTCATCCATTTTGGGGGCTAAAGACATGACATTCGCTAACATGATCTTAGGAACTTTGGGTGACCATTCAGTACTGGCTGCTCTGTTTTCCTTGGTGCAATCTATAACAGAGTAATACTGGTGAGTCATCCATCAAGATCATGATCACCATCCAAAGAAGCTTCAATTTTTAAACAAATTCTCTATTGCAAGGATAATTTCTGTCTTGCTCTTTAAAGGTTAAACTGTAAGAGTGACTAGCATCTAATTTCTCCTTACAGTAATACTACTCAATCATCTGTTAAGATGAAGAGAATAAAGAAAAGGATCACCAACCAAATAAGCTTCAATTGTTAAACAAATTCTCCTTGTCAGCACCTTAAGAAATGTAGAGAGAACAGTAAGGAGAATATGCATACTGATGTTAGGGTGTAAAGGGTGTTTAATTCTACCCAGAGCAATGTTCCTCCTATTGAACTTGGCGAGTGATTTGGACCTCCGACTTCTCACAAGGATCCAATTTGTTTGAAGACCCAGGAACCTTGTGTTTGTCCTATCATCCGATCAAATCAACTGTTCACCATATCTCTCTGAAGATCTCAATTATCAATTCTCCCTACTATCTGTCCTACATCTGAGCTGATTTTAGCTCTGAGAATTTGGTTTTAAATCAAGCAATACCCCAAAGTTGATATTTGTCTTTCTTCTAGTCCCCTTTCTGCTTAAAAATTGGTCACTTCTAGGTGTGAAAATGTAAACCCATTTACTCATGAGATCTAACAAGTCATTCTCCTCACTGTCTGTGGTAGAATTCTTATGATGTTAGTTCAGAGAATTTGGAATAGGATCACCTAATAATCCCCTAATTGATATTTTCCTTTATTCTCATCACAAGTCTGCTTGATATTCTATTGATATTGTTAGGAGAAATTCTGTCTTAGTCACTCATGGGAGTTAAGGGTTAAAAAGGAAATGCAACAGGGACTTCATTCTCAAATGTGCCACCATTACCACACAAACTCCTCTGACTATACAATAAAATTACTACTAGTAAATTGTTTTAGATGTCTGTGTTAGCATTTGTGAATCAAAGCTACTTTTTCATCCTGGACAGCAGCAAATCTTTTCAGACGCTTGCTAGACTTCTTGGTGCTCAATTTAATTCTTTTCCTTTGAGTAGTTGCAGCATCTGGGGCTACCTTGTGAAGAGAATCTTTCTTCACACATGGTTTGAAAGGCAAGGTATTGGTGCCAACAGAGATAAAACTAGCCCTGTCTTCCTCAACTGCCTCTGTGGTTGTTGTATCAAAGAGTTTGTTTTTATCCACAGGTTTGCCTTTGTTCCCTTTGACATGACTTGTACTACCACAAGTACTGGAACTATCAAATGTCTTACTTTGTAAGTCTTTGTGCACATATGAACCCATTGACACTGCTGATGGTGATGGAGACTGATAAATGTGGCGCACTACAGAATTACAGCAATCAAGGTCACATTTCAGCCCACATTTGTCATTTCCAAAAGGACACAACTTTCTCACTACTTTAGTGATGCAACAGGAATCTTCATCACTCTCCTCCTTGTTCTCTGCAACTGAAAAATTCACAACTGATGTGGACTCTCTTCCTTCAGTCCTCACAGAAATGATGCAAGATTCTGCTTCCACAAAATCCATAACTGCTTTTGATGTTGTTGAGGACAAATCCTGTTTTACTTCTCGGAAACATGCTCTTCTCGGCACCTTACCACATTGTGCAGATCTTGTGTTAGGGAGAACTGGTGCTGATCTGTCGACATTAGCTTCACTGTCAAAATGCTCCTTATCTGTTTTCACTGCCTTAACAAACTCAACACTTGCATCTGATGAACAATCAGATTCTATAGATTCTTTACCAATTAGTTCCAATTCATTTTGAAGATTTTCCCTCACTGACCCTGTGATAAGACCAGAGAGAGTAAGAAGAACACTAGATGTCATCGATGATGTTGAAGCAAAACTGTCACCAAGGTGAAGGCCACTAAAGTCAGGAGTTTCTTGAAGTTCTATTGTACGTTCTCCTTTTTGTTCAATTGTTTCGTCTTCATCATCTGATCTTTGAAGGGAAATTCTGAGACGTTTCCTCATAGGAGATGATCCCATGTTAGGCTTCTTCACAACAGTATCTTCAGGTAAAGGTGTCTCTCTTCTGCAGTTTAACTCATTTCTGATCTCAGCAAGAGGAGGTTCATCATCTGACACTGAACACACATTGACTTCACAGTCTTCTGTTGGTGATTCCCATGCATCATCATCATCGTCATGGCTTAAATAGTTCATGGAATGATCCCCTATTTGTCTTTGCCGCGTACTCAATTGAGGCTCACTATGTCCACATACATGACAATGCCATTCTCCGGGGGATTTCTTCCAGCGTTGACACTTCAGATGGGTGCCAGTTTGGCCACAGGTGTCACACAAACGCAGGCGCCATTTTCTGAAATTAGAGCAGCAATACTGTAAATGTATTGAGCCCTCCAAGCAAAAAACATTTCCATGGCAACCACAAGTTTAAAACAATTTTGGCAACTAAATTTACAGTGAAAGTTGCCCAATTGGTGACCTGTGTTTTTTCCTCTGTTGACTAAATTTCGTCTCTGAAGGTTGTTTTCTTTTTTTTTTTTTTAGGTGCCAAATGGTACGTTTGAAATACCTTGAGCTTGGAATATTGATATAATGTAAAATACAAAAGGTTCCCCAAAAATCCACTGCTTTAGCTTTACATGGATCAATGTTGGTATCTGAGCAACTGGCCACCTACCCCTCCCCTACCCCAATAACAGTCAACTGATAACTATTTAGGGTTATAGATAGGTTATGGGAGGTAGGTGTCCAGTTGCTTAGGTACTGTCATTGATTGCTAATAGACTAATCCAATGGCTCTTGACTGCACTATTTTCAATGAAAGTTTTAAATCAAAGTAGAATTTTCAATGTATAATACACCACTAAAAACAAGAGAATTTTAGTGTTTTATACCCAGATGTTTCCTTATACTCTCTGCCATTGGGACAGACACAGTTCTTTGCATCACAGCGACTGTACTGAAAAAGAAGGTCAACAAAGGCATCTTCTGTTTCCCAACTAGCATCCCTGTAAAGAATTTTACAAAAATATCCTTTGTCAGTTTTCTAACACTAATAGCAGATTTTCAGGGACTAATACCCACAATCTATGAATTTGGTAGACTATAACCAAAGATTCCTGTAGCACACAATCACCATTTTTTCCCCAACATCATCGAAAAGGAGGGCTTACTCATTTTCTATGCATTTGGAATCTTTTACATAAAATAATCCATTCCGTCCTTTAATATATTATGTGAACATTCACTTCTCTGACATGAAATTAATCTGAGATCATTTCAACCCTTCCACTACCAAGATCTCAGTAGTAATTCTCTTTAGTGTATGTCATACAATTCTGTTGATGTTGTCTTGAAGAATTTGGTATTAGATCAACTAATGATCCTTAAATTAATATTTTTCTTTATTCTCATCTCTTGTCTGCTTGATATTGTATTGATGTTATAAACCAACATTCTGTCTCAGTCACCCATGAGAGATAACCCTTTAACTCCCATGAGTGACCAGGACAGAATTTCTCCTCACACCATCCATACAATATCAAGCAGACAAGTGATGAGAATAAAGAGAAATGTCAATTAGGAGATTATTAGTTAATCCAAACACAAATTCTCAGCACTAAAATCATAGGAATTGTATGGCAGTCTTTTAGGAGAATTACTAATGAGATCTTGGGAGTGAAAGGGTTGATAAACAGCCCTTGCGAAATGGCTTTTGGAATTCCTAGGAATTCCTAGGATTTTCCTAGGAATTCCTAGGAATAAAGGTGTGAATTTTCACGGTAAATTCGGACTGGGAATTCCTAGGAATTCCTAGGAATTCCCAACCATAACAACTCTGGTTCTAAAAACCTAGAAATTCCTAGAAATTCCCAGAAATTCCCAGAAATTCCCAGAAATTCCAAGTTTATAGCCAACAGGACTTGGAATTCCTAGGAATTCCTAGGAATTCCAACTCAGAGAACCAATGACTTTCCCTGAAAAGCTGTAAATCTAAAAAATTCCTAGGAATTTCTGGGAATTTTTGGGAATTTTTGGGAATTTTTAGGAATGTTTAAGAATTACTGGGAATTTTAAGCAAAAATTTGAGGCTAATGATATAAAATAAATACTTTAAATTAAAAAAACCCAGCTAAAGTTCAAGTATTCAATGAAATTTATTTAGAAGCTTAATTTAAGGCTTACATGTAAAATATTTTTGATTAATTATTAACATCAACGTGTTGTAATATTAGGATGGAATTTGATTTATTTTTCTTTTCTTGAAAACTTCTTATGGATTAATCCTCAATTACAGCTATTCATATAAAATAGTTCTAATCAATCATTAAATTTGGTTTGACACAAATTGTGAATAAAATCTGTTGATTCTTTTCCATAAAATAAAATATCTTAAGTTATATTTGAAAACCAAGCACTCTTGGGAGTGAAGGGGCTAATTACAGACAAATAAAATTGATTTTTTGATTAAAATCTTGTTGTAACTGTAATAATAAATTAGAATGAAGTTATCCTAAACTGCAAACTTAGCTGCTGTTTGTACTGTTTGTACTGTTTGTATTTTTTTTCCTGGGCTCACAATGAGTTGGCCTTGAATGAGGTTGTCAACAAGAACCTTGACCATTTTGTATCTGGATTCCTTGACATCTGAATTTGAAAAAAAATAATATATTAAAATATGTATATTTAAAGCTCAGACCAGGCTTTTAAGATGGCTATGAGGAAAAGGGCATTCATTGGATTCTCAAATTGAGAAATCTCTGTTATATTGAGTGACTTTCATATTGGAGTTAGTACATCTCTCTCATGGATTTTACTAAAAAAGGGCTGAATACATTATTTTGTTTTTACCAAGGAGGGCTTCTTTATGTACTAAGGTTTGTTTAATAACAGTTCCTATTTTGAATCTTAAATGTTCCCAAACGTGACTAGAGGAATCTTGAAACCTTACTGATAGGTGTATTTCATTGTAAAGCATAAGCTTAAGAAACTGCGGCATGCAAGTGACCGATTCGATTCTCAGAATTATTCTAGTTTCAGTTGCACCGAGCGTTATGTAAGCTTAATTCAACCCGCTACATCTATTCTTTTATAAGATTTTGATCACGTAACGAATATCGCAATTTTTACTCACCACAAACTTTCAAAATCGTAGCTTTACAAATGGCCATTCGACCCTTGTTTGTACCAGTCAATATGTCAACTGTTGTCCCTTCTTTTAACTCCACGGCGCCAACGACTTTCTTTTCTTTTACAACACTCACGCTATTCTCGTTTTCCCATTGAACCACAATAAAAGCTATCTTTAGAAATGTTATATTAAGCAAAACAGTTGAGAAAAGCGATCAACCGATGAAAAGTACATTCAAAGATGAGCGCCAAATGGAGTCTTCTTTGTTTCCGATCACGGGCATGATCACGTGGATCTTTTAGGACTTGTCATTGGCTAGCAGAGTGAATCCGCTGGCTTGCCGATTGCAGTGTTAGGAGAAGTGCCCAACTTTATTTTGACTTCTCCGACCGGTTCTCTGCTTCTAGAAGATGGATAGCTTGGTGATATAAATAAAGATGTGAGCTCACTCTATGTAGAAATAATCGACAAGAATCGATCGTATTACAAATGCACGATTTGTGGCCGAAAGTTGTCGAGGAAACAAAGACTCGAAACTCACTTGAGTTGTGTTAATGGCAAAGGTGAGAAATAACACAAGCCAATCACAGTTTTGAATGCGACTACAAATCGTCTTTTACCCTCATATTTATAAAAGAAGGATACCACATTCGGAAGTATAAGAGATACATAGATGATCCCAGTGTACCAGTACCTAAATCTACAAAGCTTGACCGTAGCAAGCGTTCAGCAACACGTTCCAACACCGCCATCTCGATTCCTCAGTCAGTCGTTTCTACTGAACTTAAAGCAGTATTGACAACAGAGTAGAGTGCGTCTTACAAAGGAGAAACATTTGTACAAGAGACAGAAGTAGCTATATGCGATTACAGAGGTGCGTTGGAACTCTGGTCCACAAATAGTTATGCACTGCCCGAAGTATAAAACAATTTTGTTGATAGCTGACAGACAGAGAAGAACAACAAGTAAACTTAAAGAGCTGTTGTGGTGTGAAGTGTGACTAGCACTTTTCATTTTTATATAAAGAAGGACTTGTAATTTGCACCAAAAATAAAAAGATGTAATGTTTTTTGGGAGATCCAGTGATTGGGACATTTAAGAAATTAAGTTATGAAAGGAAACTTGGTTGGTACTTCTCACTACTAACAAGTCTTGTTGACAAATATTTTCAGATCAGAGTTTCAAATAAAGTAAATTGAAGACGTCATATAAAAGGTGTTTTTCCTCAAAGGGAACATTGACTACCTCTGTCTTGTCTGCATGCCAAATGTTTGCAAAGTGTGTGGATGATCCACAAGTATTGGAACTCTTACAAAAATGTTTTGTAAGAATAAAAACAGCAAAACAAATTACAGCAATTAGTCATGAAAATAGAGCAAACAAATGAAAAAAAAAAGCAGCAACAACAATCATGAAAAAAGAAAGATTAATTAGATGTTGAATTTGTTTGTCTAAGGCATAAAATTTCTACTAAAAGTATTGTCAACAAAAAGTCTCTGACAACGTTTGAGGCAACTGAGCTTGACTGTTCCAAGGTTTTCTAACAAAGGCAACCAGTAATGTAGGTTAGGGAAGTAAGATAACAATGTAATTATTGTTAATTATTGTGGAAGTTGGTAATTTCCATTTAACATAACTGAAAATCCATATTAATGTAAAGATTTACTAAAACTTAGATTGAGTGATAAATTTCATGATCTTTAAGTTATAAACATGTACATGTATGTATATCTCTTGGTAAGTTTTGTATAGCATACCTTTTATTGAGCCAAAGTTTTAAGCCTCTGAAATTACTCTTTTTCTTAAAACCTTCACATTCAAGGTATTGAGAATTTCTTAGAATTTATGTGGACCTCAGGGTATTAAAATTGCCTCAAATTCAATTCCCAGAAATTCCCAAGAGTTCCACACTTCTTAAATTATAGGTAGTTTGTAAAGCTGAGAATTCTTAGGAATTCCTAGGGATTCCAAGTCCTCACAAAACTGGAGTCTTCCTTTCCCAGAAATTCCCAGTAATTCCAAGCTTTTTAAATCAGAGCTAATTTGCATAGTTGGGAATTTTTGAGAATTCCTAGGAATTCCTAGGAATTCCTAGGAATTCCTAGGAATTCCTAGGAATTCCCAGAAATTCCCAGAAAACTGGGAATTCAGTTTGCAAGGGTCATTTGCATAACTGGGAATTTTTGAGAATTCCTAGGAATTCCCAGAAAACTGGGAATTCAGTTCGCAAGGGAGGTTAACTAAAACTTACTGATCAGGTATGAAAATTCCCATTCGCTTCATTTCTTCTTGAAATTCTTCCAAATTATTGCAAACTGGGCAACGGAAGTAATACAACCCACTTGACTTTGCGTGTTTCTACAGGAAAAATATTGAAAAGCTATTAATAATAATTATGATCATAAAATGAACCAAACATTTTCCCAGAAAAGGTGTCTTAGCATGTTATTACTCCATTTGAATTTAAAGATTTTAAGTTGCAGATGTATCCCAGGGTGGTAAAATGGTTAAATACTTATATGATTGTGTTTTTTCCTTGGTGACAATCTGAACTTTCATCGCATCTAGCTTCTGTAGCAAGTTACAGTTATTCATACACAGATAGATTTTTTTCTAATGAGTAATTCTGCCAGGATCATTTGAAAATCAGAGTTATTGTTTGGTGGCCTTGTCAATCAATGATATGCAAAAAAAAAAACAACAACAACAAATTGACAAAAATGTGGAGTTTGGCAATAAGTTGTGAAAATTATAAATTGGAAAAAAAATTGGAAAAAAAGGATTTTTCTGTACCTGAAGACATTTGTTGTGAAACCATGTCCTTCTACAGCAAGGTGTAACAAGGGGAATATCATAAACAGGTGACTTATTCTTCTGTTCTATTTCACACAAACAGATTGGACAGGTTTGGTTTCTTTTTAATGCCACATCCTGGGTTGGGCGATGATGCCGACAAAAAGAACTGTGGTGTAACACAAAGGGACAAAATATGGTAAATATTATTATTGATGCTACATTTAGTAATCAACATTCACAACAATCATCAAAATTATCTTTTCAGTTCTGGCTCCTTAGTCCACTGTTATCAAACAAATCGTGTTAGATCTTGTGGCAGTAAGGGCCAGTCACACTCATTTAATTTGTTATTTACTGAATGGAACAAGATTCCATTAATAATCAGGACCAGTGAAACTATTTGCCATTTCAAAAATGCTATCTTAAGAATTTTAGTGTAATTTAAGTCAGGAAACTGAGACTTTGCAGTTTTTTGGTAGCTCTGTTTTATTAACCTTTTAACTCTCAGAAGTGATCAACATGAAACTTCTCCCAATAATATCCTTACATTATCCAGCAAATAGGTAATGAGAATATTCAAACTTATCAGGTAGAAGTTGTCATCTTGATCTAACACCATGTTCTCTTTACTAATTTACAAGGAAATGTGTAGCAGCTTGAGGGGAGAATTAATAATTTGATCTTGGGAGTTAAAAGGATTAACCTTGGTGTAGTTATTCTTAAAAGTCTTAAGTTGTTTTTCACTTTTTTTTTCAAGTCCTAGATTTTTCAGACAGGACTAGCCTCAAAATCTCCTATGGATGAGGCGACCTTTAAAGACAGTCATTATTAATATCATTAACTTATCCATTAAATGCCACTGACAGTGTTCATCGAATTTTGGCCTTTCTGATGCAGAGTTTCTTTCAAAAAGTTAAGCTATTTTACTGAAATCACAAGCAACAATTACAAGTTTAACCCTTCAACTCCCAAGATCTGATTGTTAATTCTCTCTGCTCTCCTCTATTTCCTTGTGAATAAGTTACAAGAATTTGGTGTTAGATCAAGAGAACAACTTCAACCTGATACATTTGAGTATTCTCATTACCTGTTTGGTGGATAGTAAAAGGATATTGTAGAGAGAAGTTATTTGTTAATCACCTCTAGGAGTTTAAGGGTTAAAAACCCCTTACTAACCCAATTAAAATTCTGTATTGTAAGTCATGGACTGAGTATTTTCCGCTTGGATTTATGGCCCAAGTACAAAGCAAGAGAATGTTATTACAACTGAAAATAGACTCACTTGAAGGTATCAAAAAACTGAAACAGAGCTCCGTTCTCTTTTCCACATTTATAGTGGAAAGTTTCACGGCATCCTCCCTCACAACAGCCAATAGAGGCACCCAGCTTCCTGCAGAAACTGCATCTCTGCAAAGAAATGAGCCAAACTAAGCAATACCATAAAGACAATTAATATAGTTATTGGAAAATATAAGATAATTCATCACAAACAGCTCAGCAGGCTCTTCCAGTCAGTGGTCAATCTCACAGGTACAGGCTCAAATCAAATACTTCAGCTGCACCAGTGACAGATGGAAATAAGTTCAGTGAGCAGCTAAAAAACATTGCACATCCCTTTCACTTAAACATTCAAAAATTCATAAATTCACCCCCTACAATTGTTATCATTTGAGTTTGAAAAAAATGGTTTTGAATCAACCAATAATCCCCTAATTGATGTTTTTCGTTATTCTCATCACTTCTCTTCTTGATATTTTATTGATATTGTAAGGAGAAGTTCTATCTTGATCACTTTACGAAGTTAAAGGGTCAAACAACTGCATTATGAAAGAAACTACAAAAAATTTATCATTAAATGTGTGTTATTCTGTATCTTCTATTGAACATCAAGGCTATTGACAAGAAAGTTTAGTGGCCTAAGATGGAGACTTGAGTGTCTGTATCTGACAAATAAGTGACCAGGACTGTTTTTGGAATTTTGGATTTCTAAAGGCTGGTTTTTGCAGGCGACAGAATTGGAATCCAAGTCATAGTTAGAACTGTTAGAGGGTTTTCACTGAATCATAAGCATCAGAGTCTTAACCCTTTCACTCCCACAAGTGACCAAGACAGAATTTCTCCTTACAATATCAATACAATATCAAGCAGGCAGGTGATGAGAATAGAGAAGAATGTCAACCATGGGATTATTAGTTGATCTAATACCAAATTCTCTGAACTAACATCATAAGAATTGTATGGAAGATAGTAAGGAGAATTACTAAGTAGATCTTGGGAGTGAAAGGGTTAAGACAAATCAGAAGAAAATGAAACTGCCCTACCTCTTCTGATTTTAATTCTGTTCATTTTATAACTCTGCTTACAATTGTGATTTTCAATTTTTACTACATCATTTCATTTTCTTCCAATTTCACTTGTCTCTGACTCCTATGATTCAGGGAAAACTACATCATGGGAGTTACAAACAGAAGCAAAACAGACATTCAATCAAAATTCCAGTTTTCCATCCTGCCAAAAACAGTCTTCTACTCACCACTCCAACAATCCAGTTTTCACTACATTTTAGGCAACAAAGTTGTACCGTAAGCAACATCTATGTTTTTTTCTGATTCTATTGGTTTGATTTTCTCTAGATTGTATGCTTGTGTGGTTCTGATAACCAATCCAACCCCAACTCTGTCATAAGTGAGATCCAGGCTTAAAGGCACATTTAAAATTTCATCTAAGTCACTAACCAGTCTCTTTGCCCTTGATATTTCCTTCTTTATGTCCTTGATTAACAATCCATCAAATTCTTCATCATCTTTTCCTCTCTGAGCCAGTCCTGAGGAAAGAAACTGCACAGGAAACAATTCATTATGCAATAGACAGGGCTTTCTATCAGTTCACAAGTGTGATAGCACATGCCTAGAAAAGTTTGTTCAATACTGGCTGGAGGTGAGTGATTTACAAACTATTCTCATGTTCCCAACATCTTGAGTGTTACTGAGGCACAACTGTAAATCATTACACACTGACATTAATCAGTATGCATATTCTCCATACTGTTCTCTATACATTTCCTAAGGTGCTGACAAGGAGAATTTGTTTAACAATCAAGAGCTTCTTTAGTTGGTGATCATTTCTTTTATTCTCATGACCTTGATGAGTGATTCAGGGATGATAATGTAAGGAGAACTTAGATTCTAGTCACTCTTAGAGGTTAAGGAGATTAAAAGGGAAAGAGGGCTGAACTACATGCAAAAAAATTTTAAATTTGTAAAGGAATCATTCCTTACCATACAATACTGGTGAACTGAAAAACCAGTATTTATATCCTTTAAGAATTTTCCAAAAATTTCTTCCTCAGGTCCTTGGAAACACAGCCTACACACATCACTGTTGACTGGCAATAATAAACAACGTTTAAAAAATGATAAGAATAAAGAAAACCAACTTTCCCTTATCAAGTTAACAATTAAATTTATCATTAGGCCGTAGATGAAAGAAACCCTGCAATTATCAAAAATTATTGCTCGGAAATACTTTAGATGCTCTTGCTCTAAGAAAATCATAGCATCTCAACTGTTGACCACAAAGAGAGATTGTTCACCCTTCACACCATTACATCAGTAAGTATATTCTCCATACAACTCTCTATACATTTCCTAAGGTGCTGACAAGGAGAATTTGTTTAACAATCAAAGCTTCTTAGGTTGGTGATCATTTCCTTTATTCTCATGATCTTTATGATTGATTCAGCAGTATTACTGCAGGGAGAAATTAGATGCTGGTCACTCTTAGGATTTAACCTGTGAAGACCAAGATAGAATTTCTCCTTACAATATCAATACAATATAAAACAGACAAGTGATGAGAATAAAGAAAAATATAAATTAGCAGATTAGTTGATCCAAAACCAAATTCTCCAAACTCACATCATAAGAATTGTACTGCAGACAGTAAGGAGAATTATTAATGAGATCTTGAGAGTGAAAAGTTCAAAGGATTAAAACATATTTCCTCATGATTTTATAACAATATCAAATGGTCAAGTAATGATAACTGATGACGACAGAAAGATTTCTGTATAGCCCCCTTAACCCTTCAATCAAATTTTGATTGACTTGTGTAATGTTTGTGCATAATATTTGTCCCAACAGAATTAGATAATTTGCAATAAGTTGAGCACCTTTGAACTCAAAGTACTATTCCTAGTTTTATTTGAGAGGTTCTGCTTAAGTGATTGTTCAACACATGCAAGTAGAAAACAATAAAAACAGGAAGCTGGGACTCAATCAAGGATGACCATGACCACTTAATAGAGGTGAAAATTACAGTAATAAAGGAGAGAAAAACTGAGAAGTGACTGCTTTATTACAGGGTAACTGTTTAATATGGTGCAGCTTAATACAGGTTCAATTGTATAATGATCACCCATTTCATGATGAACCTGCCCCCATCCTGTCATTTCCTTTTACGATGAACCTCCCTACCCACTAAAAATTTACAGTACCATTAATAAATAAATGGCATGAATTGAAGAATTCCTTGTAAATTACTGGGTAAATAAAAAAAACAACAGCAAAAATTGCTGTAGTATGCAAAATGTTTTGAGTTGATTCAAAGCTCTCAAGTCTCATGCATTGAGTGAGAGACTCATGCAAACAAATTCAATCTTACACTCTCATGCTAAAGCCAGTATTTCTCACCCCTTTAAGGTTTCATATTAATTTGGTTGAATTTGCGATAGCAAACTGCTATCGCAAATTCTTGTAGGTACTTTCATTAAGTACCTACAAAATTAATTATCCTTTCAAATATAATTTACTCCTTCAGTTGTTTCTTATGCACTCATGTCACACACTTTTTAACCACAGAATTTTCTCTCAGATTAAAGGAATGCACATCTCAGCTATTTCATATTTTCACAATTTTCTGTGGGAACAAGCCCCCATACCCTCTTCCCCCTCCCACCCTTGATAGATGATGCCCATGAGATCTCACTCTTTGCCAGCAAATGGACTTGAAAGCTCTGGTTGACTAATTGTGATCAATTTCTACACCTTATGTCTCTTTAACCCTTTAACTCCCATGAGTGACCAGGACAGAATTTCTCCTTACAATATGAATACAATATAAACCAGGTAAGTGATGACAATTAAGAAAAATATCAATTTGGGGATAATTAGTTGATTCAATACTAAATTATCTGAGTTAACATGATAAGAATTGTGTGGTTGACAGAAAGGAGAATTAAAAATTTGATCTGAGAGTTTAAGGGTTAAATAGCATCTCATCAAAAAGAAAAGCACCTTAACCATTTGTTCTGTATACGAGAAGTCCTGAATTTTGTTCGTTAAATTTTGTACATGTCAAAGACACCACTAAACAATGAAGGATTTTGGACAGTGTGGGATAACTGTACACAAGGTCAATCACGATCAAAAGAGGAAAGGCTGATATGTGGCTAAGGCAATGGATTTTAATACCTCAACCAGCCTTTTATCCATAGTTAGGTAGCACATAACACCAGCAGCGACAACACTCATCGATGGACGAGTTGAAAGTTAGCATAAATGTTAAATGAAACTTGTATTGATTACATGGGTATATGTATCTTCTTAATGGTTCCTTTCAACAAATTTGAGTATGTATATATCTTGATCTACATCCAATCAGGGTAATAGCTCACCTTGTACTTCGTTTCATAAATTTTGAAATACCTCCCACAGTAGAGTCACTCCTCGCCATGGAAATCCACTGTTTACAAATAAAGTGAATATCTCCTAATGAATATCAAGAAGTATCCCGAGCCTCCAATCATCTTCTTCGTTAAATTCTGGAATTTTTAGAACCTTACCCAACAATTTCTTTCTTTTTTTTACGTCGGTAACACGAAAGACACTTTGATAATCTCTATATCTAGCGCCCGACTCGGTGGCCATGTTTGTACCTGTGGTGTTCGGATGGCACGAGAAACGGAGATATATTCTTTGATTTCAACACAGAACTTTTAATAACTTCTAACATGTGTCGTCGCCATTACCGGAAGTGATCATACATCGAATCATGAACGGAAGCGAGGCTGAATTAATGTAAACGTAAATCGAATACAGCACATCTCCCCCTTTAAGATAATAAAAGAGAAACTACTTAGACATACTTGTTTCTTATCTAGCGTGAAATTCAAAATCAAAACAACGTCAATCAAATGTCCTCAAGTAATCGTCATTTTGTTAAGAAACACATCCTGGGTAGCTATTGTCGTTTGTCTCTGCACTAAGTCTCACACACACTAGAATACGCGTTCATAGTTATGACTTTCTGTCTGAGAAACCAGAGAAAATCTGGCCAGAATGTATAACTTCACTTATGGCACATAATCCTTCAATCTAGATGAGGGCTTAGATTGACGGCCAGATCTGGTGTACACTTTTGATGTGCCAGTTCCTTCTGCAGTGTTAGCTGTTTGGGGTGAAGGAAGTTTAGGTGATGGAGGTACTGGCACCGGTGTGGGTTTGGCTGGAGCTGTAGCTGCAGCTGGGGGTGGGGGTGGTATCTTGTTGATCTGTACTCTATTCCTTCTATAGGACCCAGTGTCCGTATGGATCACATAAGAACGAGGTGTGCACTTCTCCACTACTATTCCAGACTGTCCTCTGTCTTGTACCATCACTTCATCTCCCTTCTCTAAGGGAACAAGAGGCCTCGCTGAATGCCTTCTGTCAAAGTGCAGCTTCTGTTTGGTTTTGTGATTGTCTTCAAACTGACGTAGGGCATGATTCTGCACAAGGTTTGGGGACAGCTGAGACGGGGCCACCGGCACTTTGGTTTTAGCCTCCTTGACATCATTAGCTCAGCTGGAGAATAACCATTAGCCAATGGTGTCGCTCTATACTGTAGCAAAGCAAGATAAGGATCTTGAGAGCCAGCTAGGAGACGTTTAGCTGTTTGCACTGCTCTCTCTGCTTCACCGTTGCCTGAAGCATGACCTGGGCTGCTAGTGACATGTCGAAACCCGTAATCTAAAGTGAACATCTTAAATTCCCTTGATGTATAGTAGCTGGCATTGTCAGATTTTACTTGATCTGGAATTCCGAATCTGGAAAATGCACGTTTCATCCTGTCTATGACCTCTGCTGAGGCGGTTGAACTCAGACTAGCTACCTCTATCCATCTGGAGTAGTAATCAATCATTACTAAATACAGTCTTTTATTGAGTTCATAGACATCAGTGGCTATGTATTGCCATGGTCGTTGTGGGAGCATGGTAGGAACTAGAGGGTTCGGAGGATTTTTCCTGTTAGACTGACACTTGCGACAGTTTTCAATTAACTCCTCTATATTCTTCATCATGCTTGGCCACCACACTGTGTTTCTGGCCAATGCCTTGCACTTGACAATCCCTTGGTGACCGTCGTGGATCTTATCCAGGACTTCCAATTTCATAGACGATGGTATAACGACTCGAGGTCCCATCATCAACAGCCCTTTAACCACTGTCAGCTCTGCTCTATGAGCAAAATAAGGGCTGACTAAACCCTTGACATTATGTTTTTCAGGCCAACCTTCAGCTACATAGTTCATAATTTGCCTGCATGCTTCATCCTCCTGTTGATGGATCATAATATCATCTAATTTGCTATCACTGATAGGCATTCCAGCTATGACTTGATGAGCATATAAGTTCACTTCCTCATGAAATGAATCACCTGATTTGGCTGGTGTTGGAGAACGGGATAGCGTGTCAGCAGTGTACAACAGTTTTCCTGGCACATGAACAGGTGTGAACGAGTATCTCATGAGCCTCATTCTCATTCGTTGAATACGTACGGGTAGCTGATCCAACTCCTTCGCGGATAGCAGTGGTACAAGAGGCTTATGATCAGTCTCTAGTATAATATCCTTTCCCAGAATGTAATCTGTGAATCGTTCACATGCGAAGGTACTAGCCAAGGCCTCCTTTTCAATCTGGGCGTACCTTTTCTCTACATCCAGAAGGCTTTTGGACGCATACGCCACTGGCGCCCACCTGTCACCGTGCTTTTGCAAAAGCACTCCGCCAAGTCCGTATGAAGACGCATCTGCTGACACCTTGGTCTCTAGTGAAGGATCATATATTTGCAACACTGGGCTGCTCGTCAAGCATTGTTTAATCTCTTTAAAAGCCTGTTCCTGTGCTGGACCCCAGCACCATGCACTGTGAGAGCTCAAGAGTTCACGTAGAGGTTGTGTCATAGTAGCAAGGTTGGGTACAAACTTCATGAGCTGGTTCACTGTACCCATCAGACCTCTTACCTCACTCACATTCTCTGGAGCACGCATTTTCAATACAGCCTCAACCTTCTCTGGAGAGCTTTCCACACCATTAACTCTGATCCGATGACCTAGAAAGTCAATCTGG